AAAAAAATACGAGTACGGAGAGATGCGCGAAGAAAAGAATAGGACACTAAGAAAAAGGATAGGAGATGGACGAGATAGGCAAGTGGACTGTATAATGAGGAATGTACTGATTGAGTTCGTGTGTAACAAGGTTTATTAAATATAACGAATATAAAGAGAGATAACAAATTATAATATAAGTGATAAGTGTAATAGATGTAATAGATGTAATAGTAAAGAGAAGTAGTTTACAGAGGAATATGATGCAAAAAGATAGTGAAAGATATATCACGCCACGTGTACCGGAAGTACGTGGCACGAGAGGCCGTTGGAGAAGGTAATAACAAATATGATATTGAGAGAGGTCGTGAGTTTTTCGAATGAAGAAGAAAAGGCGATTATGATAGGTAAATGATGATATAGAAAAGAGATAGAAATAATCAGAAAGATAAGGCTAGTATGAGAGGTCAGAAATGATATAGCGATGATCAGAAGTAGAGAGAAAAGGCTAAGATATTACCAGAGAAGTTGATAATGAGAAAGACAGAARGAGATGCTTAGATAGGAGATATAMCGTAAAGATGGTCTCGATGAGAGAGAGCAAGAAGGAGATGAAGACTATGAGAAGATGTCTAATTTTAGAGATTTCTGATTACACGTCTGATCTGGTTTACTTGTGAAACGATTTAGATTGGACCCCGCACCTTGAGGAACAGCGAGGACGTAACAAGAAAACAATACACCAATTAGCACGTTCCGCGCTAGGAAGAGGAGACAAACAAGCAATAGGAGAACAACACGCTGAAGATGACGTCATACAGGACCAATGATCTGTTTACACGATAAGTGGCGTGATCCTTTGTTCAATAGGAACAATCGATATATTTTCTTCCTGAAGATAACGGACGGCGTCTTGATCATGCTGGCCGCGAGGTGCTGTCACCTACTCTGAGTGACACAATTTTCGAACAGTAAATAATAAACTGAAAACGATTGTAATAGATAAAATAAATATTGTTTAACACTAATATGATTAAAGTAAAAGATTTTATGAAATTTGGTTACTCTACAATAACACGAAGCGTACAATTTTACCAGAGCTTAAGAAAAGCGCATATATTCCTGCGCGTCAGTCTAGGCCGAAACCGAGCCGGTGTCTCGGACGATTTGCAGCTGAGTGGGCGGTGAAAAGGGCATAGTATGTTCGAACCGCTACCGGTCGGTAAAGTGTTAAAACAGTCTTAATATTTCTGTTTTGCCCGGTACACGAATCCGAATATGTTATTATTTTTTCAAAGTTTGTAGCGTAAGTCTTTATGTACTTTATTAGACAAGATGAAATTTCTTGAGATCCACGAGATCCTTCAGATTCTGGCTAAACAAATATGTGGCTTATATTTTTACTGAATTCATGACATCCGAAATTATAAACATATAAATTTCGCTTATAATAAGCTACGGACGTGGTCAGTTTGGGAAAGACTAAAGCTTTTTCCAAATCGAAGGAAAATACAAAAACTTTTTCTGACGTTGCCATTTGGTCGGCAGCCATTTGACTGCGAGCCCCTTCAGCCTCTTCTAAGTGAGTTTCCTTTTCAATTTCTGCCGTCTTCTTTCCCTCACCGTCTCAGGATTGAATTTTTATTTGCAAAGCATCACAAGTTTGACACGTATCCTTTGATGGTTGTTTAAAATGTAAATTAAATTTGGTAGAGAACACATTATAGTAATACTTTTCTTTTACTAGTACTACATTTTCCTTTTCACATTCTGTGACGTATAGTTCAAACATCTTCTTAATATTTAAGTCAGAATCTCTAAATATTGTCGTCTTGGATTATAAGCTCTAGTGTAGTGACTACTGTAGGCTGAAAATAACTTTATATGTTTTATAACACTTGTGTCATCTATTTTGTTGCTTGCAACACGGCCTTTGCGCCGATGAACCAAATACGTAACTCGCTCTTGAGAACAACATTTGTATATCCGCCCGTCGCTCACCTGATAAGTGTCTCTAAAATATTTTTTGCAAACGGGAATATCACGTCTGTCTTTTCGAATGTAATATGTAAAAGAATGTGATCTTTGTTCTTTAGTTTCATTCGTGGAGCGCCTTCTTTTTATTTCGTTGACTTTAATACACCCTCTTAAGAAAATATCTTGGTCAAGTTGACCATGTAAACTATAAAATGCCTTCATGGCAGTCTCTCTGTCAGTCGAAAGAATTTTTTCRTTGCACTTTCGACGGCATCTGCATTTTATATCCACAAATGTTTTGGCAGGTATCAAATTTCCTCCCCTATTCCTATATGCCAAACCTGTTGTTCTATTATGCTTTTGCATATTTCGTGTCCATTTATCAGGATTACGACTTSTTTTCCTCCCAATCAATGTGGTTGTTGCAAAATTTGTACTGTTGCAATCAGATGAATCCGAGGAAAACGATAAACGTCTTCTAGAACCAGACTTTCTGTTGATAAATCGTATTGAAGAACCATCACTATTTTCCTCATCCACATTGTTATTAATCTCACTCATCTTGATTATAACGATATAATATTAATTTCTTTAAAAACAATCTGGRAGTAATGATGAAAAGACCAAGAAAATATGTAGTCCGTGTAATATTGGTGAAGTATATAGTAACATTCAGCGTGCGAGATCACTGTTATACTAGCTACCGTTTGCGTTCTGCTTTTTTTATCTATTTGTCGATGCGATTTTATTACCAATATGATTGAGAGGGGGAAAGCATCTTCGGCTGTTTGAAACAAAGCGTTGATGCATGACAATAAAACAACGATTACATTAGGGTAYGGAGTTAATCAAAATGGCTTCTGAAATAAATTACTTATTTTTCAATGGCCAAAAAATGTTGCTGTTTAATGGTGTTAATTTTTATTATTCAGGGAAGTTATGATAAATATAAAAAGTTTTAACTATAACAAGTGCTTTGACACATAAATTTAAGATTTTTCAAAAAGTGGAGTTAATCGATTGTGCACTGAGCAGCTCACTTAATACTAAGGGTGGGGGATTTATTTACAAGGCGGAGCGGGAGTATAGTATACATCCATTAACAAAGTGAGTATTAGCGCAATTTATGGTTATAGTATAGTTAGATGACTCATTATTACAATACGAGGAAACAGTGTAAGTTTGTCTTATTATTGGTATGGTAGCATAGCAATTAGGAGGGTTTTAGTGAAGTTACGCGTCTTGGTTGCAAGGTAGTAAAACTACGGTTTTTACGAGTTGTTCCGACTATATTCTCTTCTTCTTCGAGCAACCAATATCTTCTAGAATTAAGTCTGTGAAATTCTTTAATATCTCTATCGGGGATTGTTGTAGAGTATTTTTCAGATTTTGTCTGGGGATGTCGGTCGGATTCCAGTGGATGGTTTTATTTGATTGGTTTCTAGGTACGTGGTAAAATATTGGTATGTTTAAGACATTTTTGAGATTTCCTAGCTTGTCAAAGTACATAAAGGCATGCGGTGGGATGTAGTCCGAAAGAGCCTGGTTGCAATAGTTGTTGAGTCCGTTTTGGTTGAATTCAATGTAATGTATTCAAATGTAATTTCGTCCTCAGGAATGTACTAATGCTATGCCTAAAAATAAATATAGAATTCTATAAACAAAAAGTCCAATTATAAAAAATGTTCACCCTAAATGAATTACTAATAAGAAAATACGTACAACTCTAAAAATCCTCTATGGTATGACACTTCCTAAAACATTCTGGTAAATGTAAAGCTACTTTACATTTCGCACATTCCCACGTTGTTTTTCTTCGTACTTTACGTTTATAGCAAACTTTACACGTTCTTGTTGGATGCTTCTTCAGAGGAGTCGGATCGATATTTTTTGGGAAATGAGCCCAATGTTGAGTTTGGAGTCGAAGAGGTGTTTCACCTGATGTCGATTTCCCACGCCTTTTATAGTCCGGTAGTTTGACCACTTGTAAAATTGCCTCAGCTATATATATACGGTAATCCACAAAACTCTCCTTYTTTYGACTGTGAATTGCTTTATTCACAATATATGTATTGAACAGAGCCATGTCTGACATATAAAAGAAAAGTTTTCGGTATCCTTTGATAACTTTTCTCATTATTGGGAAAGAGGCTAACATCTGATCTTGACGATTAACTGCACCCATACCGCTGTTGTATTCCAGGATACAGTTAGGCTTTTTTACTTTCCGTAATTCTCCGTTAGATTGCTCAACCATTTCTATAGTTTCGTGTTTCGTTGATAACATGTACACGTCGCGCTTGTCCTTCCATCTGAGAGCTATGAAATTATTGCAACTTCTCCATACATATTCTCCTTTTTTCAAAATATGCTTGCYAATGCCGTGTGGCATATTTTTTCGGTTCATGCGTACTGTCCCGATAACGTTTGTCTTTTTTCGGTGTAATTTTAGGAAGAGGTTGGGTGATGAGTACCAATTGTCCAAAAATAAAGTATACCCCTTSTTGATTATCGATTTTGATAGCTTTATTACCACGTTCTCCGACGCACTATCATTTCGATTAATTTTGTCCTGGCCGGTATATATTTTAAATGCGTAATAAAAACCAGTACCTGCCTCGCACAATTTGTAAATTTTTAATCCAAATCGAACTCGTTTCGACGGATTGAACTGTTTATACGCTAAACGCCCTTTATATTTCATTAGTGATTCGTTTATGCTAACATACTCTTTGGGTGTGTARATTTCTTTAAATTTTTCGTTTCAAAAGTCAACGATAGGTCTTACTTTACGAAGACGGTCATTACTGTCAGCAGCTTCATTATCAGCGAAATGTAAAAATCTCGAAATCTGCCTAAATCTYTTATAAGGCATTGTTTGACCAAATATTGACGTCTCGACCATTACTCTTCTAGTCCAATACATTTGAACATTTGATTTTTTCAYTTGACTCATCAAAATACACACAGCATAAAAGGCCTTTATTTCGTCTGAGCTAACAGGATACCAAGTGTCGTCTACGTGYCGTCTCTTACGCTCGTCGAGAATTGTCTGATCCGCGTAGCGATTGGTCTCTGTAATCAGTATTTCCCAAAATTTTTGATCAAATATTTTAAAAAATACGTCTAATATGCTGGRATTCGTGCTTAAATTATTTAGAACAGACTCTTTTATTCCATGGTGTTCAGAGTACCTCCAAATTATTGGTGTGTTTTTTGTTTCTTTCCAAATYCATGGTTGTTGCGTCGTAGCTTCATCTTCACTATTCTCATCTAGAATCCAAYGCCTTGCGCGCCTAGTAATTGGTGCGAACACTTCACTATCACTGGATTCGTTCCCATTGCTTTCATTCAGCGCATTTGTATTTTGCATTTTGTATGGGTTTCTTAAATTTCAATAATAAAACTGCTTTGTAACACCACTTATMAGAATCGCGACTAACTTTCATGGAATACCTACAGGAACTAACRTTCAAATGTGCTCGTAACTGGCAAAAAATCATGCAGCCCGTTTGGTTTGTTATGTTTACGTTTGGCTTAATCAACAGTTCRCAAACCCGGCTTGTGATGTTTATGTTTGGCCCGACTATCTCGTCACGAGTGTGACTCGTGATATTCATGTTTGGTCCGACTATTTTTTCACGAGTCTAACTCGTGATATTCATGTTTGGGCCAAAATCTTCATCAAGAGTCAGACTCGTTAAAGTACGACAAGGAGTAAAGCCCCGCAAAGGAGCCAGMCAAAGGAGGAAGGTTCAAGGGTGAGACTAGCAACCTACCCTCGGTAAAAAAACAATAAAAATGCTCCTAGAATTAGKATTAGAGCCTCGAACTGGACGGATATAATGATGACGACACGACAAGAATAAAAAAAAACGAAAAAGAGAACTTTATAACTAATATACAACAGCACGAAGTCCTAACAATAAGAATAAGAAAAAGAAGAAGTTATCGATGCGGGGGATATTAGCAATGTTTATATTGTTTTACTGCTGACGAATTCGTCGGAATCGTTTTTTCGGAACACATGGAGACATACTCGCAGGCAGTGTCTTTCAAATTTGCGCATTTTTTCCAGAGTCGAGGCATTCATGTTCCACCAAGTTGGTGAAGCGTATTTCGTGATTGGTCTGATGAGAAGTAACAGATTACTTTGGCTCTGAGATAGGTGGATTTTTTAAATAAAATTCTGGCGTTGGCTTTGAAGGCTAGTT